TAGGGTTTAGGATTTAGGGTTCAGAGAACCCAATCCCCCTTAATTACGGAAATAGACCTTAAATTAAAGGGGCCTACCCATAGCTGTTAGCACGGTTTAGGGCTCGGGGTTTAGGGTTTAGGGACTCGCTTACAGATGGAAAAAGCGATTCGGGTCCCCATTATACGGCTCCCAAGAAACTGTGAAGTGAGGAGGACACATGTAGTGAGGGTATTGCGGGGTTTAGGGTTCAAACACCCTAAACCCTAAACCCTAAACCCTAAAGCCATGAACTGTGCTTAGTACAGAAAATCGACATGATCTCAGAGTTTAGCCTGCATCTTCCCCGGTGAAACAAATTCCTCCCATACTGCGGTTTAGGGTTTAGGGTTTATAAGGTTTATAGGGTTTTAGGGTTTAGGGTTTAACCAGAGAATGAGAACTAGTTTATCGGGATCACTGTGAGGCTCACCTGCCTTTCCTGCGGCCTCTGCTGGACGTCATGCTGCAGCCAGAATGCAACTGTTTCTTCCTGACGCTCTTGGGAGCTCGACCAGACGGTCAGAGATACCATACCGATTCCCGGTGCAATGGGGCCTAAACCTCTAAACCCTAAAGCCTATAACCTAAATCCCTAAAAACTCCCTGTAGTTCCCCTAGTTTCAAGGGTCCAAAGGACCCAATAATCGGGTACTTAGGCTTCGGATAGTAGTTATGTAGGTTACTATCTGGGAGAGTATATGATTACTAGGTACTTGGACCCTTAGGGCTAGGATACTGGACAAGTGAGGTTTTGGGCTCGGGGCGTTGTAGAAGGAGTGTCAGGTCTTTGTTTTCGTAGGATTGGGCCATGAGGGTATTAGAGTATCAGGGTTCAGGGTTTCGGGCTAGGGCTGAGGGGTTGAGGGTTTAGGGTATTTGGGTATTAGGGCTTAGGGCGTTAAGTCTTTCGGGTGTAGGGCTTTAGAGTATTAGGGTTGAGGGTTGTAGGGCTTTAGGGTGTAGGGCTTTAGGGCATTAGGGTTTAGGGTTTGGGGGTATTAGGGTTTAGGGCTTTAGGGTATTAGTGTTTAGTGTTGAGGGTTTAGGGTTTAGGGTTGAGGGAAACTATCGCTCTTGGCGAAAACCAGCACCCCCCCCCAGCCGAGATGTTGAACCGTGCACTCAGGGGGTAGGGACTGAAGACCCTCTATATTAATAGGGTTTGGGTTTAGGGTTTAGGGGTTTAGGGTTTAGGGGTTTAGGGTTTAGGGTTTAGGGGTTTAAAGTTTTAGGGTTTAAGGTTTAGGGTTTATACCCTCTGAGCCGCAGACCAGGATAATTATTTTGAAAATTATTGCAGCGGCCCGCGCCCAAGCGACCTGGTCTCCGTGGCCTACTTGGAAGCTGACGAGGCAGTTTGGCTGGCGTTCTTGTCCATGGTTTCAATTCCCGATCTGCGTACTGGAGATTGATATAAGCGATGCTACAAACCCAGAGAGCCCAATACCCCTTAATGAAGGAATATACCTTAAAGTATAAGGGCCTTAATATTATGACTTAGGGTCTATTCCTTAATTAAGGGGTAATGGGCTCTCTGGGAATTGGCATCTAAGTGGTTTCATCTGGAGTCTGCAGGCCTTTACATGCGACTTTTGAAGGGGGAGAGGTTGTTCGGACTTGTATAGGCTGGATGCATCCCTTTGCCATGTCACCGAAGGGTACAATTTGTAGATTATGTCTGTGCCTCCTTATGCGCCACTTTTGCAAGAGCCAGTGACTCATCTTACAAGCAAGAGCGTGTGACCCATACTTGCGGTAATATCTGCGGTATAGTCATTGACAGAGTGCAAATTTGGGCCTGGGTTAATGTTGAACATGCGGTCAGCATATTGATATAGTATACGATCTTCCCCAAAACAAGCTGTTCTAATTATCAAGGCCTCTATATTGCCTTACCTTGTGGGCTTTCCTTGCGGCCTCGAACAGCCCACAAGGTAGGGTACCGTACTTTGCATGAGACTCTAAACCCAACCTTAACCTTAAGAACCCAAAACCTACTTTTTTTGTAGGGTCCTTATAAATCCAATATTAGGGTTTATAATAAGAACTTACAGAAAAGTGGGTTTGGGGTTCTTAAGGAAAGTACGTCCTAGTAGCTTCCTCGCGCCCTAAACCCTAAACGCTAAACCCTAAAAACTAAACCCTAAACCCTAAACCCTAAGCGTATGCAAGTGTCCTCGCCAAACTTTCGGTCGCTGGCCGAAGACCAAGACAAAGCAAATCAGGAATCAAGACGATTAGGGTTTAGGGTTTAGGGTTTAGAGAGAAGTATAGGTGCTTCGAGAATTGGGATCCATATGGCTCCCTCATTTTGGGATAGTCCCGCTATGTGAGGCGGGTATTGAGCGGCGCCATGGTTTCTGAAGTCATATTCGGGTGCGCCTTGGGGTTTAGGGTTTAGGGTTACTCTCTGAAACTTCCAGTAAATCACGGCCTGTGTTTCTATACGGCTGTTACGAACTAGAAACTAGAATGAACAACCTAACTCAACCTCTCAAACTTTATGCTGTACATGGATGGTCAACACATGAAGGGGCCTAAAGTTCCTTAAGAGAATAGGGTTTTGGGGGTTCCTTGTCACAATTATAGTATAGTACCCCCCAAAAAAAAAGCTTATGCAACTTATTCTAATCTTTAACGCCCCCAAATATACAGCCTATCATGCATCCCTTCTAGAACCCTTTAAAGGAACCCTATGTTTATTGTTAAGGCCTCTATATGACCGCCTCAACCACCCCGGTAAAACAGCGAGGAACGCTGTTAACCCGGCACCGAACTCAGAGCCAAAACCGACATCGCAAATTCTAAGGGTTTAGGGTTTAGGACTTAGGGTTTAGGGTTTATGGGTGCCTGAATCATTTCCCTTGTGTTTTTTTTTGGTTCCCGATTAGAGTTATACTCTAAAGGAGCCCCAAACCCAGTTCTAATTATTAAGGCTCCTACATTAGGTTTGAGGGTTTAGGGTTGTTGTTGTTGGTTTAGGGCTAAGGATCTTGAACCCTGAACCCCAGCAACACCGATCCCCAACCAAAGCACACCAACACCCCAAACATCCTCAAACACCAAAGCTTCAACCTTGAAATGCCACCCAAGCCCTAAATGCCCTTCAAAAACGAAACCTCACAAGCCCTCAAACCTGAAGCACCGGAATCAACCGATCCCGGTCGTCTCTGATAAAACCTTCTCGCACCCTTGTCGAACCTTGTAGAAGCCTCAAAGGTCTCTTATATTGCCCTACCTGGAGTCTCCATGGTAGTTCCCTTTGTTTGGTTAACCAAGTTTATATTGTAGGATCCTAACCACGGGATTGGTCGGCCAAAGAAGGAACTACAATGGAGACCATAGACATCCCTGCACCCTGCTAGCCCTAAGTCTAAGTCACCCCTCAACCAAAGAGCCCCCCTAAACCCTAGACCCTAAACCCTCAACCCTAAACCCTAAACCCTAAGTTACCCCTAAACCTTGAGCCACTCACCCTTGAACCTTATGCCACTCTGAGCTCACCAAGTTTTCGAAGAGCCAGGCTATGGTTGGTGGCGAGCTCGTGGTTCTCAAGGTGCCCAAACGGAGTTTGAGTTTAGAGTTTGGGGTTTAGGTTTTGGGTTTACGGTTTGGGGTTTAGGGTTTGGGGTTTAGGGTTCCCGGGTTTGGGGCTTAGGGCTTGGAGTTTATGTTGTAGGGTTCAGCACCTCCAGTTCCGGCATTCTCTGGAAGAGCTCGCCACTCCGGTATCGCATAACCACCCAGCCGCCCTTTGGATCCCATGGCACTCGGAAAGAAACATGGGCTTTCTTCACTTTGTTTTGTGAGAAGCCTGAAGACTGCACTGTAAAGCCCGGACCCCAACAGCCTGAACCCTAAATTTGCTTGTGCCTGCGAATTGAGACAGTCAAACTGTGAACTTACCCACTCCTTTCGCAGGCGAAGGCATGCTACCTTGCCTTTGCCGGGCAAGCGGGGGAAACCTGAGAATTTTGTCTACACCGCTTGACGGCAATTGCAAATAACAACTGATTCTTGGCTTTTGCCGGCGAATGATATCTAAGCTCAAGTTAGATATCCAGGATAGATACCTTAGAGTTTCGGGGTAGGGGGTGCCCGAAAGGTTCTCCGATGACTCCAAACCACATAGTGCCCTACTTTGGGGTCGAAAGGGTACAGGCCCGCTGCAGAAATTCTACTTTGGGCTGTTTAGAGTTGTCAGGCCTCTTCTCTGGAATTTGCGTGTCGGGTTAATCATTGATAATCATTGTATGCGGTTTAGGGTATCGGGTTTAGAGGTGTAGTAATAGCACGTAGGGTATAGGGTTTAGGGCTCAAAGAGTTTGCATTTTTGGGTCCTTGGGGTGTTTTAGCCGCATAGGTTTTAGGCCTCAATCCCACATATTCTACCTCTGTAACGACTTCGACAAGGAAGCGATAACAATGAACCCTAGTTAACCCGCTAGGTTGTAAAGGTTCAGCTAGGTTCTTGCAGGGTTTTGGGTTTGGGGTCAGGTAGCTGCCCTTATGCGCAGGTTGCTACACGGGTGTTATAGGGTTGCGGGTTTGTTGAGGCTCTGACAGGGTTTTGTGGGTTTAGGGTTTAGGGTTTCGGGCTAAGGGGCGTTATCCATGCGTTTGAAGCATCCGCGGGAGTCCCCGAGTGGGCTATGGTCATGCAGGATACTGTCCCCCTAATTAAGCCCACCCGAAATCCTGGACCCTAAACCCTAGACCCTAAACCCTGGACCCTAGATCTTAAACCCTAAACCCTAGACCCTAAACCCTAGACCCTAGACCCTTGATCTTAAACCCAACCCTCGACCCTAGACCCTAAACCCTAGACCCTAGATCTTAAACCCTAAACCCTAAACCCTAAACCCTGGCGAGAACCTACAGGCCCTACCTGGATCCTAGAAAACCTTCAGGGTGTAGGGTTTAGGGTGTAGGGTTCAGCTGTGTTTTTCGGTTTGCTTAGTCTGACTTTTTGAAATTGTGATTTAGGGTTTAGGGTTTAGGGTTTCCTCATACCAGTCCTCAAAACGACAGGTGCTTTGGGATTGAGGTACGGCCTAAGACCATACAGCTCCAAACCGCATACTGGGACATTTGCAGGTGGGTAGTTACGGTTATAGGAGCCTTAAAGTTGAAGGTCTATATACCTTATGGAAGCCTTGTAGAAGCCTTATATACCCTGAGAACTCCCCACCTGTAGTTTCCTTAACCCAAACAGTCCCAATTCTATTCCAGGTCTCGGCTGACGAGACCGGCCCGGTTCGTCACGGAAGTGAAGCAGCGGGACAGGCGGATCTCTGCTCGGTTTAGGGTTTAGTGTTTAGGGTTTAGGGTTATCCGGATCATGCAAGCTGTTCACCAGCAGTGCGGATTACTTGTTCCCAATGCCGTCCAGACATCTCCATTTAGGGTTCCTGCGTAGCACCCTAAACCCTAAACCCTAAACCCTAAACCCAAAAAAACAATCTGTTGTAATTGTGAGGATTCCTGAATGCCCCATTCAGTCATTTTCTAGGACCCGTATACGAACACAGAACTTGGAGCATCTTCCTTTAATTACTACAAAGCCCGATTCCTCTGCGTAATCTAAGACATTTTCAGGTGGGTAGTTACCGCCTTATAGAAGGTCTATATACCTTATGGAAGCCTAATAGAAGCCCTATATACCCTAAACCCCTCACCTGTAGTTTCCTTTGCCTTAGTGGAGGCTCACATCTTAGACCCTGCTCAAGGCCCAGAAGCCCTTTGACTCTATAACCCTAAACCCTAAACCTCGGCCATGGAATTACCAGGCCTTTGCAAGGATTTATGAAGGCCCAAGCGCCTGATCATTAAGGACCGGCATCTACAGTAGAAGCCCAAAAGTTGGAAACCCAATAGTCTCAATCCTCAAGAGTAGTGTATAAGGAGTCCCAGCACTATTTGTCCTCAATCCGGTTTCCAACTTTTTGGGTTCCCTAAACCCTAAACCCGAAACCCTAAACCCTAAACCCTAAGCCTCGGCCATGTCCTATACTATCCTAATACCCGAGCACCTTACTACCAGGTGCCGGGGTTCTCTTCACATCCCTGCATACCTCCCAAGAAGCTTGTTGTGTACCCTTTAAGGGGAGTAAGGATGTGCAGGGTTTAGGGTTTTAGTGTTTAGGGTTTAGGATTTAGGGTTCAGCCGGGTTCAGGGTTCAACTTAGTGAGGACCGCAAACCCTAAACCTTAAACCCTTACTGAGCTTACAGATAGCCCGCATGTGAAACCGCCAACACAGCACCCTAAACCCTACACCCTATACCCTAAACCCTAAACCCTAATAGTACCCCTTAGAGTAGACCTTATGGTAACTCTCTTAGGAACCCTTCCAGGAAGCCCCCTAAGGGGTCTCCGGTATCTCCCCTGCCCAGTGAGGTACTGCGTGTGGTCCGGCCAAGGCTTTTGCGGGCTGAGGGCTAACAGGGTTGAGGGTTTAGGGTTTATTTCATGGTTAGGATCCTATAATGTAAATTTGGTTAACCCAAGAAAGGAACTGCGAAGGAGACTATATGTAGGGTTAGAGGTTCAGGGGTTCAGGGTTCAGCGGTTTCGGGTTTGAGGTTTAGGATTTAGGACCTAGCGTCAAGAGGTTTAGGGTTTTCGGTGCTAGGGTGTTCGGGTTTAGCGCTGGGGGCTTTTTTGGGGGTTTAGGGCTTGAGGGGTTTAGGGTCTGCGGGGTACGTTTTTCAAATTCCAACCATACCGTGGCTTGGGACATTCTTGTAGAACCATAACCCCATAGATAAGGTGCCATCTCTGTTTTCCAGCCCCGCAACCCCAAACCCTCAAACCTCGACTTTGAAACAACCTTACACCACCGTTATAGCACCCTTCATAGATCCCTGATGGTTTTCCTGTATCACATAGAGGAACTCGGTGTTCTTGCATTCTTGAGCTCCAATTTGGAGCACTTAGCGTGTTCCTCAAACCCTACGTCTTACATGGCCCTGAATCCTCACGATCCAATCCCGAAATTCCTACCCCTAAACCCTAAACCCATGAAAAAGAACCTTTGTACTGGTAAACCTTAAACCGTGTATAGAAAAGAAGGGTGGTACCCCTTAGAGTAGACCTTCTGGTAATTCTCTTAGGAACCCTTCCAGGAAGCCTCCCAAGGGGTCCCAGGTACCGTCATGGGGGATACTTGCCCAGAGAACCCCGTAGCCAATACCCCTAATTTAAGCATTATACCTTAAATGATAGGGGCCTTAATATTATGAGTTTATAATGTCCATTCTTTATTTAAAGGGTGTTAAGTAGTATACCGCAAATGATAGGAGCCTTAATATCATGAGGTTATAGGGTCTATTCTCCTGGGTTCCCAAACCATAACCATGATTCCCAATAGAGAGACCCTACATTCTACTATGTCGTTACTTTGCACCCTCTGGGCCTTCAAAGGAACCCTAAACCTTAATAGGGTTCAGGGTTTAGGCTTTAGTTTAAAGCCCGAACCCTATAACTCCACCGGAAAGGGATACCTAAACCCTAAAGCCTAAACCCTAAACCCTATAAATCCACCGGAAAGGGATCCCTAAACCCAACCCTAAACCCTATAAATCCACTGGAAAGGGATCACCCTAAACTTAAAACCCTATAAATCCGCCGGAAAGGGATCCCTAAACGTAAAACCCTATAAATCCACCGGAAAGGGATCCCTCATTCAAAAACAGCCCTAAGCCCTCAACCCTAAACCCTCAACCCTAAACCCTAAACCCCAAACCCTTCCAAAAACAGCCCTAAGCCCTAAACCCTAAACCCTAAACCCTTCCAAAAACAGCCCTAAGCCCTAAGCCCTCAACCCTAAACCCTAAACCCTGAACCCCAAACCCTTCCAAAAACAGCCCTAAGCCCTAA